AAAAAAAAAAGAAAAGTTGCAGGAGAAAAAAAAAAACAAAAAAACGGTAAAACTATTCGTACCATTTTAAAAAAAAAAATGCATATTTGATGACTGCAGTGAGCTGTATGGGCCCAGCTGGGTTCTACTTTATAGTATGCTCTTTCTACTCACTGGGGTTTATGCCTAAAGTCAGACTTGAGTTCATGTATAGGTATGTGTCAGCTGTGATAACTATTGGATATATTTAGACTAATTAAGTTCACTGGCAGATCATTTGAATGGGGAGGGGGGAGGCATGGAGGGCAACCGTGGATGCCAGGGACAATGTGGGAGGAGGATGGGTCATAGCAGAGGGAGGGGGATGGGGAATCTAGGATGGCAAAACAAAAGGCAAGGTATGCAGGACATAAGAATTGGGAAATTATTTGCTGAAACATGTATGTTGATGTGCTTGATTGAGCCAATGCACAGTGTATTTTGGATGGAAAATTCATTTGTGTGTTGTGATGGAAAAAAAATTATAATAAAAAAAAAATTATAAAAAAAAAAAAAAGATCCCTAGAGGAGAATGGAGGAGAATGGATTGCAGCATGGCCATCCCCCCCAGGGGGGGATTTCTCGCTTTCTGTCTCTGTCTTTCTGGTGAGCACACACACCCTATGGCAAAAACCTCTCTGAAAAAAAAAAAAAAAAATTAGAGGTTTATTCAGCTCATGGTTTGAGGCTCAAGGGCCATGGGCCAATTTCTGGTGAGGTTACAGCACGGCGGGGGGCATGATGTTGAGCAGATAGACTATTCATAAGTTTCTCCTAGTTCTGGTCTGTATCCATGTGGCCTCTGCCTGTCTAATTTCCTGTCCATAAGGAAATTGTGTATATAAACACAGTAGAACTCAATCTTGAGGGTCCAACCCTAATGCCTTTATCACACTCAAAGGCCTTACCCTGGGATACCATGAAGGGATTAAATTTTCACTTAACACCTATACAATGCAAGCACGTCCTAATAAATGCACCTTTGGGGTGATAAACCATTATCTGAACCGTAACATTGCTCCCTTTCTCCAAATGCATTATCCAGAAAGATCCAGTTCACAAATACTGTTCTTTCTGCCTGCAAGTTCTTCCTTTTCTTGTTTCTGGCTGATTTTGTACCTTTTCTTGGAAGCTTCCCTGACACTTCTCCCATAGTCCAGCCCTCTTCTAGTTATCACTGTCACTTATGAGCAAACACGGGCAGATCAGAGCTAGTAATTGATCTATCTCTTCCTTTAGACTGTGAGTCCTTTAGGGCAAGTCCTGATTATTGCTATTAATTGTCCGATGAAGAGAAAAGCAGACTGGCACTAACAACTAAACACTCAGCTGAGCCTGGATTTTTCCAACCACTCATAAGCACTCTCATGATGATCAGCATCAAACATGGGAACCCTGATGGAGTGAGCAAAAACAGGGCCACACTGCACTCATGTTTGAGTCTCGACTTACTGCTTATAGGCAAAAACAGTGTCACTGTACACACCACAAAAATGACCAAATACCCCTCTATTGATGAAAATGAATGAGTCTTGCTTCCTTACTAATCATAGCTTTCTATTCTTTCCTTTTTTTTTCTGTCTCCTGGATAAGATTTATTGGGATGCCTAATTATGAGATTACCAACTTGCTGACAACACCCATTTCAGAACAAACTCCTACTTCCTTGAACCTCCTCCAAATTGCCTAACACAAGTCAACCCCTCTGATAAGCCCCATCTAACTCTCTTTTACTGAGCCACCACATGGTTACTGAGTAGACAGGCTCCCTTGCTGAGCTTGTGTCAACAAACCCAAATTTCTTTGACTAAAAGTAAGTTCTCAGTAGTCTTTGATTTGTAGACTTCGCTTTAGATTGCCCAGACTTTCCACAATAGGATTTTTGTGAACAACTGTTGAATTAAGCTGAATTCCAAGGGGGGGGAGGGGAGACATTTGTGGCCATACTGTTGGGTCCCAGCTACGCTCCCACCTCCATACTCCAGACCAAGTGTATTGAAACTAGTTTCAGGTTACACTGACCTTTCACAATTTCAAAGGAGGTATAAATAAATAAATAAAATCAACAGCACATACTTACCTGAAGGAGTTGAAGATCCCCTTCAAATGACTGTGGATCAAAGCATGGGTAGGGAATTGCCTTTTTAATGGAAAATATTTGGTCAAGCTTCTCTTTATCGGATTTAGAGTGGGCTCCAAGAATAATTTGAGCTTTGTTTTTCCTGGAAAGAAAATGTATGTAAGAGAATGGATGAAACTAAACTATAGTCTTAATTTGCTCGTCTAATCAGTGTTTTCAAATGGCTTCCAAACACAGCAAGAACAAGGGAACTCATAAAGCTTTGTAGTACATTTTTTCTTAAAAAAAGAATTATTTAATTTTATTAATTATTATTATTATTATTTTTAATTTGACCAGAGAGAGAGAGAGAGAGAAAGAAAGAATTGAGAAAGCAAGCCACCTGGTCTGGGACTCAAACCATGGTCAGCCATGTGGGAGTCCAATGCCTCAATCAACATACCACCTATCAGTCCTTGTAGTGCCTTTTAGCTAAAAGTCTCAGGATGTATGTTATGACTAGTTCCTTCAGCTTCATGGTATCTTTTCAAGGAAGAACAACAGAAAGGAAGTCCCAGATGTAAGAGCATTGCATTGTAAATGGCACATGTAAGAGCATTGTTTCGTAAAGGCCTGGAGAGGTCTGCTTGGGTGTTGACCTGGACTAAGAGGTTTCTTCAAGTAGGGGGTGGTACCTAGGACTGCTGGGGTAGGGGCATTTGGGCTCTTTCCTTTGGTGGTTGCCAATTTTTGCATTTACTTTAGATCTGTTGAATAAAGCCCCTCCCCTAATGTCTTTCCAGGCCACCTAATGGAAGAAACTAAAACCCAAGAACTAAAGCAGAGGCGGGTTTGCCTTCCTGTGCTTCTGGGGGAATAGTGTGCTTGCTAAAGCCTTTGAAGATGAACAAGGTTGACCAGAGTCAAATTTCTAAAAGTCAGGATGAATAAATGAACCTTAGTTACATAGTAAAATTTTAAATCCCAATATACATACACACAGGGAAGCAAACAAAAATCTAGGGCTAGCCTCATGTCTAGTTCATGTACCTAACAACCATTCCAGAAGGGGGGAAAACAGTTCCTGATTAGTTAGGCAGACTGCACCAAGCAGTGCTATGAATCAAGTGTCCCAGTAGCTACTTTCACTTACAGTAAATTGTGCTGAAGTTCTTATTTGACACATTATTATTTTACTTAACAATGTAAGGTTAATCTCATTGACTCTTCTTTGTGACAAACTAGTGATTAAGCCTCTTTCGTTTATGCAATTTAAGCTGAAGTGAACAGGGGGATAGCAGGTATTGGTTATGGGGCCAGCAGGTGGCGTGGTGCTTAAGGGTGCTGGACTCTCACGTGGCTGATCGTGGCCATGTGAGAGTCCCGGACCTGGCAGCTTGCTTTCTCACTTTCCCTCTCTCTTTCTCTCTTGCTCTGTCCCTCTCTGGTCAAATTTAAATAAATAAAGTAATTCTTAAAACAAAACAAATAAAAAAAACAGGTGATGGTTATCAACAGTTATTACTCATTAAGAACATAGCAAATTCATGTGATAAACATTATTCTGCCTTTCAGATAATGCCTAGGAAAACCATTAGCTTGAACCATAGGAAGTGATCTAAAGTTGAATAATCAAGTAGCAATAACTTTCCTTCATACTTTATTTTTTCAGAAATTTTGCCAGAGAGAGACAGAAAGACAGAAAGAGAGAAAAAAAGAATGAGGGAGAGGAAGGAAGCACTTCACATGGGTAATGGTCACACCACAATTCCTTTTCTTCTATTTCTGCATGCCATTAGGATTTGGGACACAGGCATGATGTGCTTCTCAAGCTTTAGGGTCCAGAACTCAAACGGGCTGGCCATGTGGGATCTGGCTGCCTTAATCACCAGGTCATAGAGCTAGCCCAAACAGCAGCAACTTTCTATGTGTCAATATAACACAGATAACATGGAATAGTGGCAATGATGTAATAGTAAGCAAAGCAGCTGTAATCATTGAGAAATTAAATTTGATCATGTTTGTAAAATATACTTAGGAAAAACACCGGCAACAAAATATACCAAAACACTAACAGTGATTGTGTTAGGTTGATGAGACTGAGTCCTATTTTTTCTCATTTAAAAAAATTTTAATTATGTTATTCATAGTGGAAAAAACACAAAAATAATATTAGAAAATGATCGTGCATTTTAATCTTATTTTGTAGGATCTGGCCTTTCTAAATAGAGGTCAATATTATAATAGGGCATAACGTAGAATGTGCTTGCCCATTTTCTTCTCCATCCCTACCTAATCTGACTTTAGACTTGATAGTCATTTTCACCTCTTCCAGTCAACCTTGAGAATGACAGAAGTGGAGAACTACTTACAGGTCACAGTGAGCAGCTGTCAACACCCAATTTTTTTTGATCAAAGCCCCTGCACACATTTGCAGCCCTTTGATCAGAGCCATGTAGCGTCTCGTATAAGGTGGAACTTTATTTCCTCCTATAATTCTTTCTGGAAAAACTGAAAGAGTAAAGCAGAGTGAAATTCTATGTTATCTGGTCATACTTGCTGTGAAAAAGTCTGGCAATCCTAAATAGATTCAGTGAAAGTTTATAGACATGTGCTCTGTGTGAGAGTAAATCAGACAGATTTCCTTCTGTAGCATTCTTATCTATAATTATGTTCCCTTCCACACTTCCATACCTAACAGTGTTTTCTTGTGATGAGTTTAGTATACCCGGTTTTTCAGTAAACTTTATTACAAGGAAACATTCCTATTACATCAGATTGCTGTCACATGTCTTGATTTCCCTCCGTCTCTCTTCTTAATTATTCGTGTAAACATGAGAACAACACAGAAATCTTCTCTTTTTAAGCAAAGATTCTCACATGCTAGCATCATAATAATCACTGCAAGGTGCTTGCTAACAATGTGGTCTCCCTAGTCCCACCCCAGATAGTCTGGTTCAGAACCAGGGAACCTGCATTTTTAAGCAGTTCAGGTGATTCTGATGCCAATGGTCCTCAGAGTACTTGTGGGATTTATAGGCAGTGCCCAAGACTAGGAAGCGGTATTTGCCCTATTTTTGCTTCTTTGTCCAGGCATTACCAGCAGAGACATTTCACAAGAGAGTCATTTGATAAAGGTGTGGACAGAGAGCAGGAGGACGAAGTGATCGAAGGCTGGAGGGCTGCAGTGGAACTGGGGGCTGCAGTGGAGCGGGGTGGGTTGGGGCTACCACATTCTTGGCAGGACACCCACAGCTTGAATCTGGTTCCCAAACCGACATTTCTGCTCTTTAGTTTACATGGGGACTAAGTCTCTGCCTTCTGATTCAGGGGATAGACAATCGGACGATCACAGATTAAAAAATTCCTCATTAGTAAAATATATGCGGTGTAACTAACGGCACCTTTGCATCTTAGTATATGAAAAAGAAAAAAGCATCCTTTGGAGCAATCAGTCTATGAAGACATTAAACCATCATCTTGGTTTTATGAATTCCAGGTTAGTTCAGCTCCCCAAGCCATTTGGATCTGCACTGAATACAATAGTCCATCTTATAATCACTATATTGTAGGGTTTTAAAAGTTTTTCTTATTTTTATCTTTTTTCCTGTTTTGTTACTATTTATGTGCAATAGCTGAGGCAAGGCAAATGAACTAAGGAGTGGGACTGTAAAATGTATGTTATAGCTAAAGATCAAATGTTGATGAATGTCCCTAACAGGGAAAGATTAATGACAAATCCATTAACTGCACACATCTTGCCCTTTTGATTCCAGGCTGAAATCACAACAGGGTCTCTTTCCTAAGCAATTTACGTATCATTCTTTTTTTTCTAATTTGATTTTTCTATAACTATTTAAAAAATGAATACAAAGAAGAATGAAACACTGCTGTTGACTATCAAAGAGCTTTGGCAGTAGGAGAGTAAAGATCAGGCTGTGGACAGGTCCATCCATGAACGATCACGACGCTGGACAGTATTCTAAGTGTCTTTAGATGGTATAAGTGAGGAGCCATTTGAAAGCCAGTGAGGTTGGGTATTATGTGAATGAAACAGGTAGCCTTCAGAGTAAAATTAAATTGAGCTTAATGATTCCCCATGTTTAAATGCTTTTGAGGTCCAGACTTGTCTTAGAGCTAGCTTAACTGTCAGCAAAAATCATTGTAAAGCTCCGACTGGACCTACTATTATTATTTTATTTGTTTAAATTAAGTACATTTTAGCTTTTCTACAATGTAAGCAGTGTATCTTTTCCTTAAGAATTCAGAGCACCTTTAACATAATATTTATCTCCATCCCATCTCTGGGATGTAAGAAGTGTCAGGCAGTTTCTTAAAGCTCAGGAAACAGAGTAAAGTCCCATCATCATAAAGTCAGATAGAGTTGGTAAGAATCCCCTTCTCCTGGACTCCCTGCCATTCATAGTCCATGTCCTACCACAGGCTGGATTGTCTGTCTCAGGTTGGACACTGCATTATTGGCCTTAAAAATCTTACACTATTCCATGGTAAAGGTAACATTCCGTTTGGAATGACAATTTAGTAAGTTACAGTAAAATCAAAGCAAAAATCAATACTAAGAATAACAATAACAATGAGAGCATCTATGATTTACCCAGCACTCATCTGTGCCAGACACTGGCTCCAGTAGTTGTTGCAGAGGAAGGTGGATGGTGTTATTTCCATGTAGAGATAAGGAAGGTGAAGTTTAGACAAGATAATTTGTCCATGTTCACACAGGTAATAAATGGGAAAGCAGTGTTGTAACCAAGTTCCACGTCATGAAAAAACTATTTTTTTTTTCCATTGGGAAGCACTGGCTCCTAAAATGGTCTTTACCTTTTGAAATACAGTGCCGTCTATTGGAACACAGTCATGAGACAATATTCATTTTTAAGAAGATAAAAAGAAAAATGCTCTTTTTTTTGATAGTTTTTTCATTTTCAAATAATAGCTTATCCAAAAGCTGAGAATCTGATAATGTCTAGGTTCATACTTGCACATTAATATTTACATACAGTTTTTTAGACTGACGGATTTTATGCTACCACCATGGCCTTGAATGAGCTTGTGACTCTCATGTTAAGAACCCTAGCTCTGGGCCGGGCTCATGGTCTAGTAGTTGAGGAAGTAGGATTCCAACTGTGATTTGTATCTTGGCCCTGGTGGCTTGAATAACATGCCAGGGGGACCAGCAGTAAGCATAATGGCTATGTTGCTGTACTCCCATGTAGTCAACCGTGGTTCGAGTCCCGGACCTGGTGGCTTAAAACTCACACTGAGTGCATGTGTGTACGTGCCCAAGATCCTGAGAGGAGAATGGAGGAGAAGGGATTGCGGCGTGGCCATCCCCCTTGGGAGGTGATTTCTCGCTTTCTCTCTGTCTCTGTCTGGCGAGTGCACACACCCTATAGCAAAAACCTCTCCAAAAAAACCCCCCAAAAAACAAACAACAACAAAAAAAACCACACACCAGGTATGTTGTGCAAATGCCCCAAATCCCAACAGAATGGAGAAAAGGAGAAGGGAGTGTGGCATGAGCATGCTGTGTTGGAAGGTACTTTTTCCCTCTCTCTCTGCCTCTCTCTGGAGAGCACACATGCACTCTGACAATTAAAAGAAAAAAGGAAAAACAGAAGCCCAGCTCTGAGGGTATCACTGAACTGTTTATTGAGAATGGCTAATAGTATCAACTCTGGGTGCAAATCCTAGCCCTACTGCTTCCTGGCTAATGGACCTTCGTACATTCACTTGACCTCTCTGTGCCTTAGTTTCCTCATGTGCAAAACGGGACTCATAACAATGATACCTAAGAAGGTTAAGTAAATTAATATAGAGTAAGCAGTTAGAATACTGCTACATTTAAATTTAGTAAGTGTGGCAAGTTCTAGGTAGGTATATAGTTCATTGGAATATGTTACTCTGATGCAATGCTTTTCTTCGCCACCCCTACCACTGGAAATAAACACGTTTACAAATTCTGAAACGAAAAGTTTTAAGATTTTCCTGAGACATATGACCATTTAGTTGTATTTGTATGACTGGGAGGTCCAGTTAATAAATAATCTATACATTCCCAATTTAATGGCTTTACAGTTTTCCACTTAAAAGTTTTGCTGTGTAGATCTGGCCTGAATTCATGACTGCCACCAGATACGGTTAACACTTTCACATTTCTTTTTTGTTTTGCTGTGAACACAGATGGTATATTTTCTTCTTTAAAAAGTCAACACACATTTTAGATAGCAAAACCAAATGATAACATTAAAATGATTGGAAATCAAGCTATGATTATTTTTTCCTTTTCCCTTAACATTAAACATAAAACAATACAGAATTCTACTTTCTCATGAGCAAAACTAAAGAGCATTCTTCAGTAAACATGTCTTACCTCCAGGAATTAGAAGGAGAAGGATGGTAGTAGAGATAGAAAAAGGTAAAGACATTTTCATGCTGCCTGCTATCCACATATGGAGATCAGTTAGTTTCAGGTATTGACATTAGTAATATATAATGAGATGCAAAGGATGTGGTTTTCTTTCTTTTTTTTCTTTTACTGCTCTGCTGAAGATTTTGGTGTTTTATTGTTGGAAAAACATAACCTTATTTTATCTATGGTGTGGTTATTTGCTTGTTTCACAAGTGAGCTCATTTCATTTGGGGTTAAATGTCTTCTCTTCTAAAGGGTAAATATGAAACCGTGAGACTGTGTTAAGAAAATTAAAAGAAAATTGCTCCTTTGGCAAGCTTTTAAAAAAGAATATTTAATTCCATTTGTTATTATTTTTTTTCAATTTCATCAGAGAGAGAGAGACAGAGACAGAGAAAGGGAAAGCTAGAAAGTAAGCCACCAGGTCCGGGACTTGAACAGGAGGTGACCATGTGGAAATCCAGTGCATTTAACACCACATCACCTGCCGGCCCCATCCTTTGACAATGTTTAACTTTTGAATAAGAGTTTACCTAAAAGCTGAAAATTTAAATCTAAGTTAGAATTTGTTTTTAATTTTTAATTTTTATTTTCATGAGAGAGAGAGGAAAGGGAGAGAAGGAGAGAGGTAAATTTTTTTCTTTTTTTTTAATATTCAGAGGGTGTGTGTGTGTGCTCACTAGAAAGAGATGAAGAGAAAGAGTGAGAGGGAGAAAGTGGGCGTGGTAGCTCACAATCCAACAAATACTTATTGGAGAGGGTAAAAGCACCCCCAAAAGGGGTGTGGTCATGCTTCATCCCTTATTTTCCAGGTTGGAGGTAGTTTTGATAGAGTCTCACAATTGCGAACCTCTGTCCTTGTTTCCCAATTAGGATTATAGGAGCATGCTTCTGCACATGCTCCATTCAGGCTGGCCCAGGACTGGAACCCGGGCCTTTCATAGTGACACTCTGCCATTTGCACCACAGTAGCTGGGCTTGTGACAGGGCCATGCAGACAACAAAAACTGGTAAAGAGGCTGTCTCCCATGGCCTGGGCTGGGAAGAAACCGCAAGACAAGGCCAGTGGTTTACTAACTCTCCTTGTGTCGTTTTACTGGCCTATAGTTAATTTCTCTGCCGCAAGTTTTACTGTTATTACGGTACTTTGCAAGAGTAAGATATTACCCCCAACCATTACAATAAAACCAATTAGTGATTTTGTAGGAATGTGGTTCCCTAAGAAGAGGGTGGGAAGTTTGAGACTCCCCCACTTGTCTGTCTAAGCCAAAATTAACATCTGTTAGGTCAAAATAGTATAAGCCGAAGTAGCATCAGTAGCATATAAAAACTAAGTTAGTTTAAGGCTAGTTTTACGTACATACCCCTTGTTAAAGCTACAGGCCAAAGTTAGCTCATGCTAGGCAAAGTCAGCACATTCACCCAGAGATAAAATAAAAGAACTCACTAATTGACAAACTCAGCAAATAAAACAAAAACCCATGTTTTTTTTTTAAAGAAAGGACTGGTGACTGACAGGATGAACAAACCTGAGGGTTCTCAAAAAAGATTAACTACCTTAGCTGGGAGTTCTTATAGGTAGCTTTCAGCTACAAAGAGTTTCTCATCTATGTGCTGTTGACTATGAAAAACTGCTAATAAAACATCCTGTGTTGTCTCCTGAGCTATAAGATCATCTTCCTTTCCCATATAAGAGCATAGACTCACTCTCTATTGTTGTAATGTATAGATAGTCCATATATTAACTGTGTCTTTACTTAACAAGACAAGATTTCTATCTAGGTCTTTACAACCAGCAATGTTATCACCCTGGCCTGGGACCGAAGCTATTAAACATCCTGCAAGCTCCCTCTTCAAAAGACCCTTCCCAGTAATCAAGATCTAAAAAGAAGATACAACAGACAAACGGACTTCCTCATCCTAAAACCTGTGATTAATTTTACCTACTCTGACAAGACAAACAGCATGTTTTATAATTATTGCTTCCATGCTTTGTATACCCTGTTCCTTAGAGTAAATCTTTTACTGCCCCTCACCCATTTACTTGCATGTATCACACTTTCAATCAAAAGGCACCATGATTCCTAGCAGTTGTCACTCCTCAGAGAGAGATCTTTGAGGGGTGTCCGGCAAAAGACTTGCTAAAAAGGCATCGAGGCCTCTGTCTTCTGTTCACCTTCGCCGCCTCCGTCGAGATAACCCACCCACGCCGAGGCTGGTCCCCGGCAGGCTTGAAATATCATTTTAAAACTTATTCTAGTTGAGAAACCATAGACATTTGATGTGTTCATTATTGAAACTGTTTGGTAATTATCAAGGAAAAACTAAAATTAGATTTTTTTTTCTTTTGCCATAGAGCACATTTGGTTGCCAGAAAGAAGTAGAGAGAGCAAGAGAGAGAAAGTGAGAAATCACCCACTTTGGGGGATGGCCATGCCACAATCCCTTCTCCATTCTCTTGGGGTTTTGGGCATGCATGCAAATCTGCCTGACGTGATTTTTCAAGCTGCCATGTTCGGAGTTTGAACTGCAGATTACCATGTGGGAATCCAGTACCTTAGCCACCATGCCACTTGCTGGTTCCCCAAGTGAGATTCCTGACACCATTCAAGTATAGAAGCACTAAATGAGCATTCAGATGAATATTTATACAAAAGTAGAAATGAAAAATGTACTTTGGAATATGATTTCAAAAGCAGAACTTATAAAAGATAGATTTAATTATGAAAAGTTAAAACTCTGGTATCTGAAAACATCAAACATAAAGGTCAAATTACAAACATTTTCAATATATATGACCAAAAAGGGCATTTTTACAAAATGATAAGATACACGCCTGGAAAAAAAATGATCAGGGGATTCGAGCAAGTAATTTCAAAAGAAGCAACTTAATTAAATGTAAATGGCTGCTGTATTTCTTTTTATTTTAAATTTTATTTATTCATTCATTTTTTAAATTTGACCAGAGAAAGACACACACAGAGAGAGAGAGAGAGAGAGAGAAAGAGAGAGGGAAAGTGAGAAAGGAAACCACCAGGTCTGGGACTTGAACCATGGTCAGCTATGTGGAAGTGTCCAGCGCCTTAACCACCATGCCACCTGCTGGTCCCCAATGGCTGCTGTATTTCTAATCTACAGAGTAATGCTTAACATATAGCATGAGCTTTTCACTAATAAAAATGCAATTTAAAACACTTAAGTACCTTTTATTATTCAAATTTATAAAAATTTAAAAAATACCCTCTGTTTTTGCAAATTCTTATGAGTTGATATCTCAAACTGCAATTTTTCTGGAAGGCAACGCATATAAAAGATAATTTAATTTCATAGAGACTTTGACCCACCAAGTCAATTTAAAAGAATTGTAGGGATGCATAAAAATGGAGTTATGAGAATTCTCTTGCAGTATTAGTCATAATGAGAAAAGAGTTGAAAACAATAGAAATGCCCGCAACTGAGGCACTGGTTAAGTGTGTTAGTGTCCTACTGTTGCTGTGAAAGTGTGGGCTGGATTGCGGATTGGAGACTGCAATGGGCTCCTACATTTCTCACGCATCTGCAGATGAATGGGCGCAGCCCTGTTCCCTGCTCTGTGAAGGACAAGCCTGGAAACAGAATCTGCCTGATGTAGGGCAGGTGCAAGAAGGACAATTGTTCTGTTTTGACTTTCTGAGCTGTGGCTTTAGAATAAACTTGGTCATGAGAACAGCCTTTTATGGGGTTCTCACCAAATCTTTCTGGTTGCAATCTAGTTAGTCAGATGTGGTCTCGGGCCAGAGGTGTCTGTGTGTTGGGTTTTCTCAGTAGTGAGGCTGCCAGACCATTTTACTTCCCCCTACTCCAAGCCTGAAGCTCTGCATCTCTGTCACCAATGAGACCTCTCACTGCCCGTCACTGCTGCTGCATCTTTTGTGACCACTGTGACAGTCCTTCATTTTCTTTCTTTTTTTTTAATGACAACTTTATTGAGACGTAATTCACATGCCATATAATTTACTAATTTAAAATGTACAGTTCAATGATTTGAGGTATGTTACATTATTCATTAAACATTGTTGTGTATCTATCACATAATATTTGCCACTTTAACCATTTAAAAATTATTTATTGAATTTTATTTATTATTATTTTAAAATTTGCTACAGGGTACATGCACTCAGCAGGGACAGACAGAGAGAGAGAACAAGAGAGAGGGAAAGTGAGACAGCAAGCCACCAGGTCTGGGACTTGAACCATAGTTGGCCATATAGGAATCCAGTGCCTTAGCCACCATGCCACCTGCTGGCCTTGAACCATTTTTAATTATACAATTCAATGGCATTACTTATATTCACAATGTTGTATGATCATCATACGATGTATTTCTTTATATATATAATTTTGGAGAGGTTTTTGCTGTAGGGCGCGTGCTCTCGCCAGACAGAGAGAGACATAGAGACAGAAAGCGAGAAATCACCCCCCAGGGGGGATGACCATGCTGCAATCCCTTCTCCTCCATTCTCTTCTCGGGATCTTGGGCACGCACGCACACACACCCGGTGTGAGTTTTAAGCCATCGGGTCGGGGCCATGAACCATGGTCAACTACATGGGAGTCCAGCGACATAGCCATTACGCTAACTGCTGGTCCCATCATACGATGTATTTCTGAAACTTTCTTATGACCTTAAACAGAAACTATAACCATTAAGCAAGGACTCCCCTCTGCCCCTCCTGGGGTAACCTCTAATCTGTTTTCAGTCTCTATCATTTGTCTACTGTACATATTTCACATAAGTGGAATCATGCAATGTTAGTCCTGTTGTCTGGGTTATTTCTTGTGACTTAATATCTTCAAGGTTCCTTTTAATGTTATAGCAAGAATCAGAACATTTTCTTTCTTATGGCCAAATGATATTCTGTTGTTTATCCACTCATCTGTTGATGGATATTTGAGTTGTTTCCGATATAGTGAATGATGCTGTAAAAGAATCTGTTCAAAGTTCTTCGTTAGATTTCTTTAGATGTACTAGGAGTGAAATTGCTTGGCCATATGGTAATCCTATGTTT